TTAAGATTTATTTTTATTTTATTTTATATTTTCCATGGAAAAAATATTTCCCATTTTCAAACTCAATTCATTTTCGGGAAAACAAAATCAGTTTTTTTTTACAAGTGCCATTTTAACTCTTGCTTATTTTCTATATGGCGCCGCTAAACAGTTTTTAAATATTTCCACTTTTTTGTCCCAGATTGTATTCTTGAAAGGTGATTTTATTTTTCGTGAAGCGATTCATCGGGATTCACTCTTAAAAGTGTAACTGTTTTTAAAATGTTTCATAGTGGAAAGACGGGGATTTATTCACGGTTTCTTGCACACACGTCTATATAGACTTCAAGCCAATCCCAAAAGGTGAAGGTTAAAACTGCGGACGGCAGGCACACGTGATATAAACACGCTAAGCGAACACACAAACACAAGATTATAAACTCAATAGAAAACTACAGACAAGGCTGAAGCAAAAAATAATGCAGTAGACGAATTTCATGTAAACGTACGTAAACACACACCACACACCTATGTAGCAGACATGCATGAGATATGAACTCTAATTCCGATGAAAGAGAGAAGAGGATCAAGCCTGATAGAATATGATAATTATGCCCTTTATTAAATATCTTGATCATCTAAAACTTAAACTCATTAACGAGTTTATCCTAATAAATTATGAGAACTAGAAAAGAAAATACTTGAAATCATATTTTAATCATAACTTGAAACCACGTTCCTGGAGAGAAAGTACATTTGGACCAAAGTGAACTAGTAAATTATTCGAAGAGAAAGCACGAAATTTTCAAATTTAAGTGATGCTGTTAAAATCCAGAGAATGAGTCGAAAGTTTTGGCCTACACACACACACACACACGCGCACGCACGCACGCACACACACACACACACACACACACACACACACACACACACACACACACACACACACAAGTACATGTATATGTATGAATTATTTCAAAGCGAAACTTTTCCATTATAGACACGTTTCTTCTTCTGATGGACTTTATCAAGACAATCGAGGATTTTATTTTGCAACAAGTGTTTATAAAAAGAAATAAAAATGGCGTTAATTTAAAAAAGAATGTAAATTTTAGAACGGTCATGAATATTCATAGGACTAATAGTTAAGTCAAGGTAAACTATGGAGGATACTAAGTGATGAAAGTTAAAGCTTAACAAACTGAACTGAGTGAATACTGTTATTGTTATTGTGGAATCATTTTAATGCAATTCTTTTATATTTTGTTTTAGTACTAGAAATTAATTTATGCAACGTTGAATCTATAATAGATTTTACTCAAAATCGAAATATTTTGAATCAAAATTTGACAAAACTTTACACTTCCTAGATATTATGTTACATAGAATTATTAATGATTCACAATTGAAAGTTTAGAGAAAATTTACCAACAAGAATGACCTCATAAATGTCTATTCTCACCATTGCAACAGAATACAATCTGGAATAATTATAAGACTTTATTTAAGAGCACTAAAAATCTGCTGGCTTAAATATTTACCTGAAGAAATATACATATAGAACACATTTCAAAACATTCAATATCCTCATTATTTGAAGAACCTGTTTTTCTTCTCATTATTATTATTATTATTAGTAGTAGTAGTAGTAGTAGTAGTAGTAGTATTGATGTTGTTGTTACTATCATTACATTTGTTGTCCTGCTGTAGATTTTTTTGTAATTTTTTCCTGTCGTTGTTGTTAATTAGTCGTGTTTTAATTATAGATTTCGACTACTCTCTATCTCTCTCGTACGCACAGACATATAAACACACACACAAGTGTGTGTGTACGTGTGTGCGCATGTACATCTTTTTAATACATCGTTAAAAGCTAAGTTTATTTTAAGGAGTATTTTTATTAAGAATTATACACCAAACAATTAGATAATGCCACAAAAGTGCCAGGAGTTTTTAAGTTATCATTAAAATATGACTTTTAAGTATTTTTTTATGTATATATATATATATATATATATATATATATATATATATATATATATATATATATGCATATATATGTGTGTGTGTGTATATATATAGATAGATCTAGATATATAAGTGGACACTGAAGTATACACGCACACACACACACACACACACACACACACACATATATATATATATATATATATATATATATATATATATATATATATATATATGTATGTATGTATGTATGTATGTACATATTGATAGAGAGATAGTCTAGCTCATTACTATAATTATTCACTAAATGACAGGAATGCAATTCGATAGACATATGCTGGGAACAAGTAGTTTAAAGTAAAATCGAAACTAAAACGGTACTTCTAATTAAAATGGGCCACTGAAAGAAGGAATGACTCTGACATATAATGAGTAAAGAGTTTTAGGAGAATGTAAAACTCACGGGTCATATGAAAGGAAAGATCGAGTAACATAGATAACTAGTTTATGCGAATGAATGATAGAGTAGAGACTAACGAGGATGACAAAATATTAAAAGGAAGTTGTGGAGAGACATACTCGCTCATGTCCTCATGGTACACGGCATATAAAATAAGAATGAAAACATTCATAAGGTGCCCCACTCTTGTACTGACGTCGTTATGAGCCAATGAAATATTCCCGAGTTTATAAACTAATTTTCAAGGAATGCAGACATACCTTATGTAGAAGGCAACATAATCTCTCCACCACCACACCCACATTGTCAGTTAATGCTGTTATAAAATTGTCGAAACTTACGAGATATGCAACAACCCCCGCTTACAGGTAGGTTTGTAGTTATAAAAAGGTGCGGTTTGGTGTAACTCTCCTCACTTTCTCTCCCTCTCTCTCCCTCTCTCACGCACACACATAGAAGTTGGCAATAAAGTCACCATACAGTTACTTATAATAAAAAAGCAATGCATTTAAACAGGTGGCTTGCAGTCCGAATAGTATCGGTAATTAATTTACTATTGTTTACCATAGACATTTTGTTGTTATTAACCAGAAAGATTTTTATAATAAATTTATGAACTGTTGCGTAATTGCGCTGTTTTAATTGTTATTGTAAGTAACTGCATAGTGACTTTATTTTCAACATAATTAGCATGATATATGCTGTTACCTGTGGATGTTGTCTTTAGTATCCACATTTATATTTCCCTGATACTAAGCACTTTAACCCATAAATATAGCATACCTTAAAACCATATTTTATCACACAAACACACAAACACACACACACACACACACATATATATATATATATATATATATATATATATATATATATATATATATATATATATATATATATATATATATATATTCAAACGAGTTAATGGACTTTTAATCAAATATGTTTCTTACTTCAAACGTATTTTTCTCGTGGATACCTGTATTAGAAATAACGACATATTTGTTTAATTTTAAACAGTTTGCCAGCTGATAGATGTAATATCTTCTCTTTTTATGTGACTTGTCCTTTCAGGACGTAGGCGATCATGACTCTCCACTTCCCCCTATCCCATGTGGCACTCAGTAAGTTTCGCGCCTTTGCCAATTCCCCCCAGACCACATCCTTCCATCCACTTCGCTTAAGCTCGCCAGGTATGTTGTCCATTATATATATTGTTTAAATTAAAAATGAGGCGTCTATTTCAAATAATGTTTATCCACCAATAATAATAATAATACTAATACTAATACTACTACTAATAATAATAATATATACACACACATATATATGTGTGTATGTGTGTCTATATACATATGTGTGTGTGTGCAATGATGTGATAACTTTGCATCTGTATTATTTTCATATTTAAATATGCTGAAACCATCCATCTGTGCACCTGTAATTTTGTATATTTTTGTAATAATTTTACTTATGTTAAGAGAATTTTCAGATGATCTTCTTTAAAATAATGTGTTTGTATTTACAGGTGTTTATATCTTAATGTCATAAGTCATACACCCATATTCTTTTAAAATATTTTCAAGGTGTTAGGTATGCACACACACACAAACACAAACACACATACTCACACACATAGGCACATTATATATGTGCTTGTTTGCGTGCCTATATGTATGTAGGAGGCTGAACCTAATACCGTGAAATAATATTAAAGTCGTAAAGCGTGACTCTTTGTGTTAAAACCCATAAACAGAATACGACCGCTTGGAAGGTAATTCTGATTGAAAAGGAAAAACAACGATTATAAAGAAAGAAAGAATTAAATTTATGTCAAGATCATAATTAATAAAGAAAGAGTAACCGATTTCAATTACTTGTGAAAAAATAGCACTTTATAATAAATAGTTATGAAGCAGTGAACACACATGCGCACAGACACATGCGCACAGACACATGCACACGCGTAAATGCGCACATACATATGCTCACATCAAGTTCTGTTGAATATTTTTTTTCCTTTCACCAGAATACATCTATGAAAAACTTTTAAAAGTTTATGCTTTTTTTTAACTTTTCGAACAATGCATGAAAATAACTAGGAATTTGAAACGTTAATAAATACTTTTGATGTATTTCTGACGTGGGAATATATTTGACAATCAAAAAAGCAAAAAGAATATGAAGAAAAATTCATACAATTGGATTAAGTTAAAAAAAAAACAGAGATTCAAACAACGTGTAATTTACACATACGGATATGAATGAAACGTTTCTGTTTCGTATTGGATAAAAAAATGATTTGGTTGCTTGATTTCTTTTGTTTAACGACATTTCAACCATAAAGGGTTATTTAATGCCGAAATGTAAAAGTTTTCTACGCAATTTATTTTATTTCATTGGAGATAAAAATGATTTAGTAATAGAGCTCTTATGAATTAACTCAAAGCTGGGAGTGTAGAAGAGGAGGGTTCACGCCTTTTCCAAAGGTATTTGCGCGTAAATGAATATACCGAACCCAACTAGAATTAGAACTCGGCTCTCCGGTTAAAAATTCCGAGTCATTATTCATTACACCATCCACACATCCAAGCTTACTGCACCTGGTATTTCCAAGCGGTCACCCATCTATGAAATGACCAGATTCGACGTTGCTTAACTTCGGGGATCGTAGGGGAACCGTTGTTGCTGTGTGGTATGGCCGTAAGCCAGATTATTTGGAAAAAAATGATTAAGGGATTCTGAAATTGATCAGTATCATAAGCACGATAATTTCCTAAAGATATTCTACCAACACTTCACTCGCCCTGAAAATGAAACCATAAAATTATAGGAGCGATAACATTATGAGGAAATAAATTTGATTTTTATCAGGACAATGATGGCATACCACATAAATTATTCGAATAGCAATATTTAAAACTGTGACCTTACACTATTAAGGCGCGATTTCTAGGCACACAGTTTGAAAATATCGCTATTCTAGGAATTAGGACTAAAATGGGAAAGAACCTGGATCTAAGAGACACCATTATTTTGTGGGTAAGAGTTAATCAAGTCATTCCCTCAAAAATAACTGGGGATGACTGGAATATAATGCTAATTCAAAAATTGTTTTTTGAAATATACAAAACAAACATATTCATATTTTAAAGAATGATCATTTAAGTTAAATTGTAAAACTTGCTTTAATTTCTGGGGTGAGGATTAAACATTTTTTACGTATGTACTATCGTACTAATAAATAGAAAGATAGGAATATTGGTCCAACTATAAATGATATAAGTAAAATATATTACAGTTATTTATTTTAATTACTGAATATTAATTACTTGCACGTCAGTTTTTTCCTGTCGTAGGTGCATATGCATTATTTTTTGATAAAAAGCTAAATTCGAATAGAAAAAAATCATTTTAATATGAGTAAAAAGAGCTAACATTTATAAGTGGTAATCAAAGCTGCCTAAAAAATATACATCCACAATTTATTGATAAGTTACTGTGCCTTGAGAAGTTTTCCTTAACATAATTCGTATATTAAAAACGCACAATGATTTCACTAAAAAATCAAAAACATATAATATTTGAACAGCATTAGATTTTCTTTGAGGTTTCGATTTGCGATGATGCATCATCAGAAAGTTTATCATGAATTCAAGTTAATTATTCGATGAAACGCAAAATGAACAATATTGTAATCCGTTCACTCCTAAAAGTATAAGAAAAATACATATACTTTATCTTAAGAAAAAGAAAATTATTGTAGGTAGGACAAGGGTGATATTTTATCATATATCATTATCATATATTCATTTTATTTTCCAAATTTATGGGAATTTAACAAGTAAACAAACTAAACTTTAAAACGTCAATGTTATGTTTTGAAAAAATAAAAATATACGTCCTTTTAACACTTTTTTTGTGTGTGTGTGTATATATATATATATATATATATATATATATATATATATATATATGTATGTATCAATATATATAAAGAAATATAGTTTTAAGTGGGTGCTATATTTATGGGATAAAGTGCTCGATATCAGAGACAGAGCGCATGTAAATATAAATACAAAAGTGAACAATTAAGTCAGCACTCAGAGGCGACAGGCTGTTTCATGCTGAACGCAATCGTCAGGCAGCCTGACGATTGCGTCCAGCCTTTCGACTGTGAGTGCTGTTTCAATGTTAATTTTATATATATATATATATATATATATAATTTATATATATATATATATATATATATATATATATATATATATATATATATATATATACGTTTGCAAATATTTGCATAGGAGGAAAGAATTAAACGGTAAAAAAAGAGCCGATAAAAAGCAACGTTATATTTCGTCTTCTGCTTTTTTCTTTCAAATATTTACCCGGATCTCAATAAAATATTGCGTTTGCTTATTTTAAATCATGGGCCATCATCCCATTGTTAATTTCTGATGGATAGAGTTATTCTAAACACGAAAAGGTCGATAATAACGTAATAAATGTATCTGAAAACATGTGCTGGTTCCCGCTATTAAGCAAATATCAGCTGTTGTCAGACATTGCATCCGCAGCGGACTATAGTCGCGGAGAAGGAGGAGGAAGAGGAAAGGGGTAAGATGCGGTGTATGTCGGCAAATACATCAGATCAAAAAGAAATATACGGGCGAATAGTCAGAATATTTGCTTCGATTTTTCCGACGTAAGAAAGATCTTTATAAACACAAATTACAACGGAAAGCATATCAAACCACAGGGTCAGAGATGCTCTCTTAATGTACAAACACACACACACACACACACACACACACACACACACACACACACACATCAATCCTAACAGGGTGGATCAAAAATACTTTTAGAAACTTTTGGGGCGGGTTTCTCAAGCAATGGCAAAAGTTCATATAAAAATATGTCGGCAAATCCATCCTTTTTGAGATATTAAGTTTAAAGAAAGTTTACGGTAAACGGCGCTCTGTTGCCATGTATACTTGTTTACATTTATCATTCGTGTATATTTGTGGCAACCCTGTCTTCAAAGATTAAAGAGTGTAGTATTGAGTTAACTGAGAACTGTTTCGTTTAACCGTGTCAGGATATTCATATCGTGATTTTTACATACGGCTGCCCGAATGGTAATGGACGCGAGGCTGTAATGCTGTATCAGATTGCGTTTCCAGGCCGAAGGCAACTGAGCCATCAAAACTTTGCCGCTGTTTCTCGTCGCATATTGCTGAGACAGGATCCGTGGCACCACAAACAATGGATCGAGGAAAACCGTGATCCACTTGTACGTCTGAACACGAAGCACAGAATCTACAGGTTGTAGGATATCATCCAGGTATCAGCAAACGTCAAGTGGGCAAAGAATGTCGTACGCTTAATAGTACCGCATGGAGGGTACTTCAAGAGCAGCTCTTTTTTCTGTATCATTTGCAACTTGTGCAGCGTCTTTTTCCCTCATATGACCTCCCTGCACGTCTTAAGGAGCTGTCGACAAGGGACTTTATTTCGAGCACCCTTCCAACCTACAAGAGGATGTACTCTTGTTTGTACGAAGACGCATGTGGTTCACGCATGATAGGGTCCAGCGATGCACAGTCTGACATCTTCCATGAAAGATGGACAGGTAAAAGAGCAACAGTTTCATGGCCTGCACGTCCACCTCACCTCAATCCTTTTGATTTTTATCTGTGGTAACACCTAAAATAATTGGTTTATGCAGAAGACATTGATAATGCAGATGCGCCTCATCAACGAGTCATAGAGGCCTGCAAAACCAATCGACTCCGAATGGGAGTATTTGAAAAGGTCCGCCAGTCAATGATCCGACGGGTGAATGCGTGTGTAAAAGCAATCTGAAGACATTGTGAATATTTTTAGAGTTGATGCATTGAGGTACAACAATGGCCTTGTGGACATAGGTTTATGTTGACATTTTACCTTGTTTTGTTGTCAGGACCCCGCCCACAAAGATTGTAAAAGTATTTTTAATATACACTGTATCAAGATTGGATCAATACGTCCGTAGCCTTACCTATATCTGTTATCTGAATTTTGAGTTCTTATTTAAATTCAATAATTTTTGATTGCTCTAACTATTTTTAAACTCCTGACCTAAGGGCTGGGACAATGAAAGAGATTTTTGGTGAATTTAAAATACTTGTATTTCCATTCTTAAGCTGAGGGCTTAAGGATTCAAATAAATATGTTTGCATAAACACATGAACAAATATTTTTACCAGATGTCTAAACATGTGTACACACACGCCGGTGCAGATAGATGCGTGAATGTACCGATTTATAATTCATTAGGGAACTTAGCATAGTATACAAACAAGACACAAGAAGGAGGGCATCAAGTGCAGATTGAACACACTACACGTGTGAACTGGCCTGCGAGATGAGCATGATAAAAATCCGGCTACGGTACGTGCCACAACGTAGCTAAGAGTATATACAATTTTTTGAAAATCTGGTACTGTTCTGTTATATGTTAGATCAGTGGCCGAGAATACCAAGTTCATGCAGGTGCTTGTTCGTTGAAGCATTTTTCACTTTTCCATATCAAAGAAGGAGAGCATATTCAAGATTGGAATGCTTACGTGTATGTATATATATATATATATATATATATATATATATATATATATATATATATTTATATATGTGTGTGTGTGTGTGTGAGTGTGTGCGCGCGCGTGTGTGTGTTATAAAACTATAGTTTTAAGGTATACAATATTTAGGAGTAAAAGTACTAAATGCCATGTTTAGAGTGTATGTAAATATTAAAATATGTACTAAGGTCAATACTGAGTAGCGACAGTCTGAAACACGCTTGAACACAATCTTCAGACCAGGAAGATTGCGTTCAAGCATTCAACAGTCTGTCAACGCTCATTATTGACTCCAGTGTCCACTTGATATATATATATATATATATATATATATATATATATATATATATATATATATATATATATATAAGAAAGCATAAACCAACACACAAGTTGCCAAAACATAAAACTCATATCCAGATAAAGTTCCGAATAAAACCAACAAAAAGAAAGAAAAAAAAAGCCTGAAAGGAAATTTACCTACTCAGTAAAGTGGTCGAAGATTATATTGCCTCGACGGAGCAAACAAAAATTCTTACCAACGTTAATTGTGTCTGTCTGTCTGTGTGTGTGTGTGTGTGTGTGTGTGTGTGTGTGTGTGTGTATGCGCGTGTTCGTGTGTTTGTGTGTTTGTGTGTGTGTCATGTGTGTGTCATGTGTGCGTGATAGAGCGGGACAGTGATAGGGAAAAAGATAAGGAAGGAGATCTGTGTATGTACGTATATATATATATATATATACGTATACTGAGCATGAAACCCGAACTTTGAATCTCATCTTTGTCGTTTTGTCAAAAAATGTGACTTTTTGAGTTTATCGGTCCAGGGAGACGATGAAATTGCGGCACAATTGGAAAATACTTGAGAACCATTGCACGATTTAAATTGGGAAAACGGAACTGTTCGGAGCCTGCAGCACGAAATCGCAAGTCATCTTGACCGTGGGTTTAATCGTAATGTCCTTGTTCAAACTGATTATGCGTTCTCTAAGAAAATGAAGTCATAATCAGCTCAGCCTACTTTCATTATAAACCAGCTTTGGATTCTATGCATATCGAACAAACACAAGTCTTCATGACTCT